ACACATATGATAATGTCCATTTCACTTGAAGAGTGTAGGTGTCTTAACTAATATCAATTACGCACTTTCACAATGACATATAATTTTGAGTTCCGAGACAATGAAATAAACCTGAAGCCATATATGCTGCAAGAGTCTGAAGACTATGTATTTAGGTGTACTAATGGTCGGAAATTTCATTCCTTTCGGCTGTCCAGTTTTTTGTGCAATAAGTAGCTTACTCGAAAGCTTTCCCAAAATGTGAAGCAAATCGGTTGCTAATTGTTTTACTGATTTAGATGGAGAAGAAAGAAGGCTGATAGCAGGGAAGATGAATAAGAGCTCTTCATTCAAATCATATGCATCTCTAAAGACATCATTCTCTGCAAAAGTATTTTAACAATTTTATTTAGTTACTGATGAAAAAGAAGCAACCGAGACAGTTATTTATCCAGTAAAGCGTATAGATATCCTCAAAAGAAAATGTGTTCATTAATTCACTATTTTACTTTTGAAATATTTGAAAAATCTTCAAAAATTTACTTGATAGTGCAGACTGAGGTGATATCTTCCAGGCAAATAGGATAAGAAATAGCACCTTAGTACTCAAATATATACAATGGGAATCAACTGTACACCGATATGTGCCTTTGGTACTAAATACATTTTTGTTCTCATTAGATATATGTAATGCATCAGAACTATTAACCTTTTTCCAGAAAATTAACAAAATTAGTAACCATACCGTTCTCATGTTTCCACTTCAACAGAAATAGAACAAGTTTCACCTCCAAGAATTGTTCATGTTCAAGTTCAGACTGCATAAGCACCATAAATAAGGACAGGGTAATTGTTGATAATTCAGGTATAAAGCTCAAACCAAGATCTTTTTGCACAATCAATATGCGCCTCGATACTTCTAAAATGTTCTCAATTGAACTCGTGTGCTTTGGATTTGTACACAAGGAGAACATAACATCCAGAAGCTCCACACCACATAACTGAACTTGATGAAGCAGCTGCTAGCATTTATGATGCCACTTGCAATTAGTAAGTCTAGACCACAATACAAATCTTAAAATGTAACAAAAAGTAACTTTAACCCAAAAATACAATAAAATTCAAAAAGCTGGAGAAAAAGGAAAGGCCAGTTTGAATACCGATCCCATTTCCACCAATTGTTGCAGGACCACCACATATGCATCTACAATGCATTCAAGGCAGTGCGAAATATTAGTAAAATCCTGCACATTAACCATGGAACTTAAGCACTTAAATATTGATGGCGAAACATATATCAGAAAGCAGGCATCTAACGAACAAACAGACGCCACAGCAAGAATAAGAAGAAAAAACATATTTTGCACAATACATAGTACACTTACTTCTGCATTATCGCATGGAAAGAACTTCAAACGCCCAATGAGGAGTTTAATAACAGGAATGGCCTCTAAAGGAATTGAACAACAAAGTCCAGCTAGTGACGATACCAAACTTCTTATAAATGAAGAAACTGAAACAGATGAGGGCATCCTAACAATTGAATAATTCAAGAAAGGTAACAAGAAATCACAAACTTCAACCATTCCCGAATTCTTGCTCTGCATTATGAAAATAAGCACTTGTTGCACTAGCTCTGTTTGAACCTCCACTCGGCAAGAAAGCACCTGTCCCGCCATCAACCAATTCACATCAGAACCATTACCAAAATTAATTAATAGACTATTTAAAGCAAAAAAAAACATCAGACACTAATTGCTCATAAACTGGCAGAATGAGCACATGACTGTTCACGACTATCTGCTAATATGTTGTGAACCCGACCAGCACATAACCAAACTAATATCTATACCACTACACAATCCAAGTGCTTTTGTAGGGTACAATGTTATTTCCCTAGCTAATCAAGTCCAATAAATCTTTCAAAAATAGCACAATCAAAATCCATTCCAATAACAAAACTTAGCCCTGTCAGTAATATTATCGACTATCAAAACCCATTGTAATGACAAACTTAGCCCTGTCAGTAATATTGAGATAGAAATAGTTGGATTAATCACCATTCGTATACTTAAACTTAAAACTGGGAAGGTGCACATTCTGATAACTTAGCATAATGTTGCAATTACCTTGACGAATGGATGATTCTCTGAAGATAGAGACGGCAACGAATTGTTCTGGAAACCCAACCGAACAAGGAAACCTATTCCTTTGACAAAAAGACTGACAAAACGAGAATCGGATGCTTCGAGGGCAGACTGGAGCTCGAGTAATCCGCGAGATAGGTCCAATTTGGAGTCTCTGACGAGGCGGCATAGCTCTCTAACCGATTGATCAAGTACAGAAGCGGAGGTGGAATGAAGGCACTGAGTAATGGCGTCGGTTCCAGGGGCGGAGTCAGGGTTCAAGTAAGTCGGAGCCGATCGAAGTTTGTCGAATATCGAGATGACTGCGAATTTCTGCAGCGACGGTTGGGGGATTCGAATTTTCTCCAGCAGTTGAGAGTAAGAGTCCATTAGGGGCCTAATAAAGTACTTAGTGTGGCGGGCAAGTAGATTTATCAGCAGGGGCCAAAAGAAAATTTATATGCAAAAATAACACAACAAACGTTTATATGTTTATCGACTGTTTCTTATTAAGTTTTAAGTTTATGTTTTTCTTGAACGTCTTTACCAAAAAAAGAAGGCTAAGCCTTTTCCTTTTCCACTTAGGGCATCTCCAATCCAATTTCTATTTGGAATGTGTTTTGTACGAAGAAAAATATTTTCTAAAAAATATTTTTAATTTTCTCATGTTTGGTTGGGATAAAAGTTTTAAAAAATGTTTTTCAAATCAACTTATTTTCTTCAAATTAAGGAAAATGATTTTCCTTAAAATATTAAGGAAAATATTTTCCAAAACTCTTCTCTAATTTCAAATTACATTTTTTTGGAAAAGACGTGAATTTTAAAAAAATATTTTCAATTTTAAAATTTTATTTTTTCACCCGATCCCTAACCCCTCACCCGCCCACTCACTACCGGCCAGGCCTCCACACACACACACACACACAACCCCCCACCCGAAAAGATTAATTTTACTTTTTAAAAATATTTTCAACTTTAAAATTTTATTTTTAAACACCTACCCCCTCCCGCCAGCCCTTACCCACCCATATCAACCCACCACCACCACCACCACCACCACAAAAAATTGTTTTAAAAAATATCAAGTTCAAATTTTTATTTTTTCACTCCTACCCTCTCCCCCTTGGACCCCCCACCCCACCTCAAAAAAAATAATTTTATTTTTAAAAAATATGTTAAATTTCATAAATTATTTTCTACTCTAGTAAAAATAAAAGATATTTCTTAAAAATATTTTTCATTCATAAATCAAACATTAAAAATCATTTCCGAAAAATATTTTCTACTCACCAACCAAACATGAGAAAATAAGTCCAAAATTTACTTATTTTCCATGAAAACATTTTCTAGGAGAACATTTTCCACTAAAAATATTTTCCTTCATACCAAACGCACCCTTAGAGTTCTTTGTTTTTCAAATTAACCAACTTTAAACCAATTCTATATTTTTACTCTCTAAAAAAAATCTCTCTCATTAATATTATATTATTATTTCTTTCATTCTTGTTTTCTTATCTCATTTAAATTATTTATTTATTTTTTCTAGTGATTACTTTCTATAATTTTCATGTGATAAAAATATTATTTTTTTCAAAATTTTTATTTAATATAAATTACATTTTATTCTAAATTTTTAAATATCATAAACTGTAATGTTATATAATATTTAAATTAATGAATAATTTCAAATAAAAGTAAAATACGATTATATAAACACTCAATTTTTGAAATTATTACGCTGCTCTCGTAGTTCAAAATGAGCATCTTTATCCTAATTTTATTATGTCTAGCTAAAATTATTCAAATAAAAAATTTTCATCTCTCACTATTTTTGTCGTTGCAGTTGGAGCCTCTACGACATCTTGAATTGGTGCATTTAGATCACGTCCTCGATTATCACGTTGTGTAGTATGATACATGTAATAATTATATCATGTAGCACTTTTTTTCTCAAAAAATTTGAAGGTCTTGCAATAATTGCAAAACTCTGAATACACGTTCCACATCTTTTCGACATGATTCTTGTTTCATCGCGAATTAATTATTATATTGTGTATTGTATTTTATTTAATATTTAAATAATTATATTATGTATTATTATTTGTATATAAATTATTTTTTTTATTTTACCATTATACTTTTATGTGTTTCTATAAGAAAATTAAAGTAATTAGATAATATACTTTTTAAATAGTATATTACATTTAGAAGGAATCATGAATATTAGATATTTAATTAATAAAATGACATATAAAATAATATATTATTTGAAAAGTAATAAAAATAATAATAAAATATTCAAAAAGTGAAAATAAAGTAGTTTACCTCTATAAATTGAGTATATAGTGTAATATGAAAAACGTTTTTATTTTACTCTTCAAATATAAAAAATACAAATAGTCTTTAGGAAAGAACTATTAAATCGTTTTCAAAGTAATGAGGAGTCGTTTGTTCCCTGAGATTTAATTATATTGAAATTAATTATCGTCTCGTTCCCGAGATTAGTTATCCTAAAAAATTAGGATGGTTAGAAACATGATAATCAAATAAGAAACAATTTTTGTATACCATCACTATTTTTTTAGTCATCACGCCAAACTGAGACCTTTTGATAAGGGAAAACACTCCTTTTAAGTTTTCCTAAATTATCGTATATTTACTCAAAAATTGATCGAAAAGAGGTGTCATGAAGTCTATTTATAATTCAGAAATTGATCGAAACTGTATCCTAAAGAGGCGTCATGAAGTCTATTTATAATTCAGAAATAATTTACGAGGTATTTTCTATACTCTCTTCGAATAGTATAAACTCTTTAATTTCATTTATTTATTTTGTCAGACCACAATGTTAAATGGATTTGAGATCATCTTCAATTTATTCAAGAATTTATTTACTTTCTTAAATAGGACGAACTAACACATCACATTGCATCGCACAAAAAACACCAAAAAGCTTAAAAGAGGGGCAAAAAAATTAAAATGCACATTAATTTTAGCATACATTTTTTTTTTAATTTTTCCAACTTAAAAACATAAAATTAAATTAACTAAGTCTTGGTTCCTTCTTTCCCTTCCTGTGCTTTGCTCTGGATTGTTTGTCCGGCGTCCTTCGTCTTCTGCCCCAAGTGCGATGCAGCATCCGCCATACGCCTCTTTGCCGCTTCCATACTCTCTGGGACCATCGATTTACCTATAAATTATTCAACACATCAAAGACAATATATTTTTACCGGTATTAAATATTTAAAAATTTGTTACCTTGTCTGAAATAATTGAGAATCCAAGAGAAAGATGAAAGTCCAGTAATACCAAAAGCACCAGAAGTTAAAAATCCAGCAACAGCAAGGGCAATAGTAAGCGTAGCAGGTACAATAACTGGGCTAAAGAGTAGAAAAACTGGAGTTGCAAGAGCAAGCCCAATTAAAGTGCCAACAAGAGTAATGCCAGCGAGGCAAACAAGTGTCCCACCAACAGGTAGAAGAGTAACAATAGCCAGAATTTGTGAAGCTGAAGGACCTTTCTGACTTTGATGAAGGCGCTGCTGGTGTGCGTGGCGGTCACCCATCGTCGTCAATTTGTTTTAATTAGATGAGAGGAAAAGGGAATGGCGTTAGTTGTTTTTAAAGGAGGGGGAAGAGTGCAACGTGTTGGGATGCATGTGAATTAAGAGTGCATGAGGAACAAGTTGCATTGCAAAGAAGAAACTTGGTGTGTGTTTTTTTACCTCTACCTTTGAATTGTAACGCCTAAACTTAGCTGTCTTTTTTTGTTTGATGATTGACACCTCAATGCTTTTAATAACAACAAGTTTTGTCATATAAACAACCTTTTCTTTTCTTTTTTCTTCTTATTATTTGATTGAATATAAGAAATGTAACTTTCGAGTTTAACTACTAAAATTAAATGATTCATATCAATTTTAGGATGCCAGAAAAATATTCTTTTTTTTATTTGATTGATCAAAATTTTGAAAATATTTGAATTTCTCTTAAGAAGTGACATCTACATCGATCGTGTTGAACCCCAACCTCTTATATAAATGGTACATAAATATTTTTTTTCAGATATATATTTATAGTGAATACAAATGAAAAAAATTAATAAGAAATTCATTTATTTTCCCAAAAAAAGATAATATTTTTCTAAAAAAGAAGTTGTAAGCTTTTCCTAGTGATGAGGTCCATTGGGCGAATAGAATGTAAGGGCCTTACAGTGGCTTTTATTTGAAGGGCGGCTGAATCAAAAGCCCAACTACTGAGGCCCAATGTTCATGTCATAATACGCTAATTCCCAGTGGGAAAAGGAGTGTAATTACTTGTTACTAATTACAAGTACTTGGGTGATAATAAATCTAAAAAGTAGGTAAAAACTATACTTATAATGTAGAAAAATGTTGTTATAGTTAGTCATATCGGTCTCGCGCCCAGTGGCTATCGTCATGCCGATATAAAATTACACTTCATCCATTACACTAAACTCTATACTTATCTACCATGGCTACTATTGTGCTCATATTTAAATAAATTGTTTTTTTAACGGATCAAGAATGAAAAAAAAATAACGTAAATTGGACCCAAAGACTTGTATCAGTCGTCTCACTAAACTGTAACACACAGTGTAGCCATTTTAATTTGTGTACTGTTTTGTTCACTAGTTGAGGAAAGAGAGTTCCACTAAGACAAAAGGCAAAAAACACGGAAGACAAATAGAGAAAGGCGAAGTGACAGGGAAAGGGGCTGATAGCTATAGATATATTTTTATCTTTTTACGATAACATAAAGTTTATATTTTTATATATACTTATTATTATTATTATTACTATATCGTTAGATGTTTCATCCTGCTAGTATAAATTTAATTTTTATCGACAAAAATTATAGAGTAATTGTAGTGGGGCCTATAGCCTGTCAAATCAAAACAGGGAAATTTTTAGTTTGGGCTGCAGATCTGTGATGGATCTTTTTTTTTTGAAGTCCAGATAAGGGCGGTTGTTTGGGCCCACTAAGGTAGAAAACTTACGTTAATTTCCTAATTTGTTGAGAGTTATTGACCAAAGTCAAATTGTGCTCCTCCGGAATGATTGATTGGTTGGGAGGTGGATTTTCGTGTGAATCGAATTTTGTTCCTATTCTCTAATTAGATATGATGAAGATTGTTTAATGTGATTTACATTTTTTTATAATTTATTAATTTTTTTTAATACAAGTTAAAACTTTCTTAGGGAAAAAGATAAATTCTCCATATACGATTATGGGGAAGTTATTGTAGTAATCTAATAAAAGTGTAAAACCTAATCTACTATTACATGTTCATGCTATTAAAAAAAATCCTAGAAACACTTTTTTTTTTTTGTAAAAATGTTTAGTAGCTATATTTTTACTGATATTTTGATTGAATGGATGAAAAAAATAATAATGACGTTCATATGAAAAAATAGAAGATTTTTTTATTATTTCAATGAGAATTTGTTTCTCATTATATATTTTTTGAATTGATTTGGTGAAAATTGAACGAAAATATCATATAGTTTACAACACAAAGTTTCAATTGATTTATAAAAATATAAAAAAATACTTGAAAATATTTATGAAAACTTACAAGTTCAAGAGGGAAAAAATGGTGTTTGATTGAGAAAAGAGAGAAGCAATATTTTTACTTATGAGATAAAAAGGCACGCCCAAAGCAGAGAAGTAATGATTTATTATTTGATAACTTCTCAAATAAGTTGAATATTGTTGAGAGTCTCCTACAGATCTGATTCGTTCAAACTTCTTCAGATCCATTAAGAGGTTTTTTAAAAAAAATTAAACAAATAAACTTAATGGTTGAATCTGAATGATTCAGTTTAAGACCTGAAAATCAAACGTACTTAATGAGCTAAAACTGAATGATTAAGATTCAGACTTCTATTAAGTGTAAACAAATGACTGTTAGTTAAGAATTATGAGGTCTAATACTCAATTTTCAAATGGAGGTAAAGAATAATACCTCCGTCTCGTATTATTTGTCATAATTTATATATTTAGAGTTAAACTATTAAAACTTTGACTAACATTTTAAGATGTATTTTTTCATCATATTAATATTTAATATGTAAAAAATTTGCAATTTATAGTACTTTTCATATAGTTTTAAAATATTTATTTTTTTGTTTAAAATATTGAATTAATGTGATTTAATTTAACTTTAAAAATTAATCAAATTGACTTTCAAAAAACGCAACATGACAAACAATACCTGACAAGATGTTTTTTTTTATTTACCCAAACCTTGATAAATAGAAATATTTATTAGCAAATACTCATGAAATTAAGCAAAATATTCTACCAATCAGATACCAAAAGTTATCAAAAAAATGGAAGTATTATTATATTATTAAATATTAAATTGACGAATAAGATGCTCTAATATTTTTATGGCAAGGGCACCAAATCCAAAAGATCAAAGTACGACGAATAATATTTACATACTATTTACGATGATCGTAATATATTTATCTTTTTTACTTAAAGAAAAAAACAGCAGTAGGACCTACAAGGTAAAAAAAGGTCACCTGAAATGGAGAAGGGATCTTTGGACGGTTAGTAGGGGCCCATATAAAACAGTAGGAATCGAACGAAGGATGTGATGGATTTTGAAAGTCTTTCATTTCTTTTTGTGGTAATTATACTTTCTCTTTAGTCTTCACCTTTATTTATATATATATATACACTTACTGCTTCTCTGTATTAATTTAGTTGTTCACGTTAGAAGTGAAACATATATTAATACATTAATTATTATTATAAATAAATTATAATTTTATTTTAACTTAAAAAATTATATAACTATCCTAGTACAATAAATATATTTTCTTATTTCAAAAAATATGCATCACAATTTAGTAGTACTAGAAATATTTTATAATTAAATAAAAGCATCTTAAAAAAAAATTATTATTCTTTCTTAATCGTAAAAATGAACAAGTAAATAGAAATAAATATAAAAAAAATAAATAGGGAGAAAGGAAATAATATACAGGGAAGGGCCCTAACTTTAACATTTTACTAGTTTTTATATTACGTGCGCATGCTCCTGAATTTCCCTTTTGCATGACACCTCCCATATTTCGATGAATTAGTCAAGGAAAACTTTAATTTTTAAAACAAAATTGAAAGAGGATAATAATAATAATAATAAATATCCCTCAAATTATTTCTATATCAGTAGCTCTTTCGCGATATTTTCCCCTATAGACATGTCATATATCATCCACTTTTTTTTTTAATTATTATTATTTTAAGTTCGATTTTGATTTGAAATTTTCGACACTTATTCCCTTTTTCAGAAAATATTAGATCATGTTTTTAAAAAATTGTACTCCTAGTATTCTATTAGATGTTAGTTTAGTATCTTTTTTTTAATGGATGAACACCATATTATATTAGATGATTTAACGTTGTTTGAAAGGTTATTTTTGCAAGAGTTATATTTTGGAGGATATTTAATTTCAAATAAGAATGGAATATTAATGTTGAGTCAAAAAAAGAAGTTTGTGGCATTTTGAGTTGTTGCTCATATTGTCTAGACACTTGAGGAAGTACGTACTTTGTAATTTGTAGTGTAGTAGACACAGTACTCAACCACAGAATACTTTGCTCATCAATTTTATTCTTTCTATTTCGTATTAGTTATTTATTTTATCTCTATTAATTATGAAAAGGTAAATTAAAAATAAGAAAATTATATAAAATAGCAAACTATTAATTCAAATTAAATGTTGTCATGATTTATTTTATTTCTAATTCACAATAAACATCCCTTTTTTTGCCATCTGGCTTGATATACAATTAGTCATTTTCGATATAAAATTACTCATTCGATATACGAATGTATAAAATCCGTTTATGTTTGTATAAAGTGAGAGAAAAATATATATACAAATACAAACACATATTTACGTTCTATACACTTATAATTATATAAATACAGATTTTTTCTATCCAGAAAAAACTGAAATGTTTTAAGTACAAATTATCCAATTGTATAAATGAATTTATACAAATTGAACCATTTGTATAGTAATTGGATGTATTTAGCGAATTATACAAATCAAAATGTTCATATCAAACACAAAATTATATAGCGCAATTATAAAAATTATAGCTATAACATACCAATATAAGTGCTATGAGAAAGTAAAATTTTAAAATTTTCAAGAAATTCTACTTTTTCATAGTAATTAATTAAGGGTATAATATGTTAAAATAATTTGTCCTTTTTTTTGTTTGTCAAAATGAATAAATAATTAGAGACAACTAAAAAGACAAAAATAATTAAAAAAAGAAAAAGTGTAGACAGTTGGCCAAGAAGTTGTCATTTGTCCACCAGCTCTACGACAAAATCAACTTTTAACGACATTAAATATTGACACTAATAAAAAGTGTTAAAGTCTTTTTCGACATTAGTTAATTGTTATTAGAACCAATGTTGCTAAAAGCTTTAAAGACATATACAAAGAATAATAATTGTCACTAAAATACATATTTAGCGGCAATGATATAAAGCACCTAAGTTTCCTTCAAGTTGCATTAATTGAATTGTGTATGAGTAAAATTAAGTGTTGACAGACACATATATTTATATACATACACATACTTATTAAAAGAACTGGTTTATATTATGATAAAATAAAATTTCATATACATCATTATTTTAAAAGACGTAAAAAAAAATCCATAGAATTTTAAAAAGATAAATTGAAAAGGAAAGAAAAATGAAGGGGGGACAAGAATTAGAATCGTCGCAAGGTGCTATAAATAGATGGGTTCATCTCACATGGAACAACAATATTTTTCCGGACCCTATGAATGTAGGCAACTGTATGTTATAATTAGACCAGGATAGTGCCATATTTGTACTATTTAATTCAACAAGCCAAAAATGTTACCATCCGCCGATTAGTCCGAACTTATAAACATATCTCTAAACTTGTTGAATTTTTTTTAGATATCTTAACTACATTATTTTTCTATTGAATCATCTATAATTTGTTCCTTTTAAAACACTATTGACTGATTTTGATCGACTTTTCTATTGTAAATGTCTTCGATTATGTTCGTATTGTAATAATTGTGATTGAAGGAACGAAGACAAACTGTGTGTTAGTCTTATTTGTTTTCTAATGTGTTCAAATGACTTGAGGTAAAAAAACACAATGATTGTCGAACATTTTCATTATCAATTGAACTAATGTGTATAGGAACAACATATATATCCTTCCTTTCATTATTAATTGAACTAATGTGTTCTCGAACAACATATATATCCTTCTCTATTAATATCCTCACAAAATCTGGTTCCACATCAACCAACAATGTTTAAAACGAATAAATTATAAATGGTTCAATAGAAAAATAGCATAGTTAAAATGTCTAAAGAAAAAAACCCGACAAATTTAAGAATCTATTTATATATTTAACCTATCATAAAACATCTCCATCATACTACGAATTTTAATATATACCATTAAATGACATAATGCTATCGATAGAAATAAAAATAAATTACTCTTATCGAAGTAGCTACCATTTAGTCATAAATTTTTTTTTATTACCTATCGAATACTTCAAAATAAAGTAAAAATTTCACTTTGTTTTCTTTCCTTCGTACCAAACACATCCAAAAACTATTGCTAGAAGAGGGTTGATTATTTAATTTTAAGTCATAAGTAATAAAATAATAAAAATATAAAAAAGGAAGAAAATAAAAAAGAAGAAGAGGAGGACATAAAAGAAGAAACAAATTTGCTTTTTTGATGATTTATTTATTACTAGTGTACAAGATTCTGACGGCTAGTCTTCAACTTTACTAACAATGGGCCACTACTGCACTTCTATGTGGAACATAACTAGGACGTCCTCACTCTTCTCTATACTTATTAAATTAAAGCTAACTCAATCATAAATTAATTATCTTTTTGTGTTTTTATATTTTTATATATGATAACTACGTTAAAATTTAATTAAATTTGAATTTATGACGAAACATTCAAATAAAAATATGAAATTCTAACGAATAATGATTAAATTTGAGTGTTTCACTTCAAACCTTATTGATAATTCTAATGTCCATCTCTATCTTTGTTATCTAGTAGTTTAATATTAGGACAAGTGAAAAAATATTAAATATGTGACCTTATATACTATTACGTTTTACACTATTATTATATTTAACCAATTATAACAAGTTATAACTTTCTTTTTTTTCCCTTCGAAAACATCTTATTTAAACTTATCTTGATACCTTAGGCGTGTTACGGTATGTCAAAACTGTTGGATTTTATTTGCCATAATTTCTTATCATAAATAGGTTTACATTTTAGTAAAAGATTTTGGATTGACTAATCTTTTTTCTAGCAGGAAAAGATTTAGGGTTCTATAAATAGAGATATGTTTCTTCTAACTTAATCAGCATTATCACTTGTGTGAACCTCCCATGTGTTCCTAGTGAATTGGTTGTGGTTGTTTCTCTCTGTATTTTGTACTCTCATATTCATAGTAGACTGCTCATCTCCTTTGTGGACGTAGGTCGATTGACCGAACCACATTAAATCTTTGTGTCTTTTGGTATATTTCTCATTGTCTTCTTACGAGGTTTGCTTTGCTAGCTTCCGCATTTACACCTACTTATTTTTCGGTCCTAACGAAAACTAACCTAATGATATATGAAATATTTATTTGAAAAAATTGATTGGCACATATAAGCTTATACAGAATTAACAATACCCAAATCACATATAATTATTGAGTTTTTGTACACAATACAGACGGAGTAATTATTATTAATTAATATAAATGATGAACAAGTAAGTAAGTAAGTATATATATAGGTAGGATTACACAATTCATAGATATGATAATTGGGAGATGCTAGTGTATATCATCATCAGGCTGAGGGTTAGGGTTATTGTTCCATGTAGTATTATTATTATTATTATAAAGTCCATAATTATTTGTCCCATAATTAGCATTAGCATATCTCATCAAATCAGCATTGGTAGCATCCAGTTCTTTCTGAAGCCGTATAACTTGTCTTTGTAGGACAGAAATAGCTCCAACACAACCATAAACTGGATCTTTCATGCGCGCTTCAGCTTCATAAGCAAGAGAATTCACCGCGTCTTCTCTTTGATGAGCTTCAATTTCATTCAGAAGTTTACTTACATTGCTTGCACCAAATATTTTGTGTACATTTGAAAATTTTTGTGGATCTTCTGGTGGAAAATAAGGACAAAATATGCAACCTGGTAAACACTTTCTTCGCAAAAATTTACAAGCTGCACAGGGAGGATTCGAGGAGCTGCTACTCGAACAAGACATTCTCTCGTTATAACTCTACATAATTTTTACATCATCAGATCATTATTTAGGACGAGGGAAGAAATAGGTTTCATAGGATCATAGCTTTAAAACTATATGGTAAAATGAAACTTAATTTTATGTTGAAAAAAGTCAAATATATCAAATTAGCTAAAGCATCAAATGATATGCATAAAATCTACTTACTATATATCAGTCTAATCAAAACGGCCTCTTATTTTGAAATTATAATAAAAGGAAACATTTTAAAAAAAATATCATGCTCAGTAATGTTGATTTGTCAATTTACTAAAAACACACACTATATAAATTTGATATAGTTTAAATTTAATTTTGGAGCAAAACAGTAAAACATATGGTAAACTTACTATGCTGCCTTTTTAAAGTAAATATCCGACATTCCACCTGCAAACTTCCGCAAAACATGTCTTTTCTTTCATTTTTTTCTCACATCAACTAATAAAAAGTCACAGTAATTTTCATATTATTGTCAAAAAAATCAACTAACTTACTAACAGATTGTAGGGATTTTTATAGGTCTCTTAGCCCTATATATATAAAAAAAAAAATTGAAGAAAATATAATAAAAAGATACCTTAAATTTTCCTTTTGGTAGTTGCAAAGTCTTTCAAGCTATGTTATTACTTGATTCTTGTTAAAGCATGCTACCAATTAGTAGAGTTTTTTTTTAGAGAGAGAGAGAAAATTAGAAACCCTAGAATTGGAGAGAGAGAGAAAAAAAATGAAGAAGAAAACTAGTGGGAAGTAAAAGGGACTAAGCACATTTAAATAAGTGAATATTTTTAATTTCCTAATCAAGTAGTAAAACTTATGGGACACATACTATTATTGCTTTCAACAAAAAAAAAAAATTATGTACGATGTTTAATGAATTTTTACAGTAGCTATACAATATTTTATTATGAATATGATTATTTTTTTAAAAATTGTAAGTAGATATAGTAAGAGACGCACTGTTTGTGATATTAGTTTCATTCTAGTTTTTTAAATGGTTAGTGTATAAAAAAGGCGATTGAGAGTATATTAAGTTATACATAGATATATACATTAACTTTGAAAAAAAATATTTATGCAATCAATTATATATGTGTAATAATAATTTAAATAGATTGTCTTTAATTTTGACTCTTAGGTTCAGTCATCATTTCTTTGTAATTATTCTAGGGGAAAACTTCGCTAATTTTCTGTCGGCATGACATGTACATGCTTGGTAAAATTAATAATCACTTCCCACCACTTCAGTTTATTGAGTAATTTCGCTAAATAGCCACTCGTGTTAAGAGAAATTATCTACAAATATCATTTATATTTATTTTAGTACTATAACATCACTCAACTTTATTTATTTTTCTTAAAATATACTTGACACAAAAAAATATATTATTTCTCTCCTGCTAGGAAGCCATGTTATATTTTAATTTTAATTTTTCAAAAAGCATTTTAAAAATACAATTTAAAAAAACAAGAATTTTAATACAACTATTTTAAATAGAAAATAAAATTTCTTGTTTAAAAACACTGTAACGATAAAAAATAAATGATTTTTAAATGCCTCTAATAAAGGAAAAAAATGAAATCGGACTATTTTTTTATAAAAACAATAATGACTATTACGGGAAAAAAGATGAAAGATATTTAAATGCTTCAAATTTCAATTTTTAAGGTCAAAAAATGAAAACTGAAAATTAAATTATTTTATATATAAAAAAACGTAATGTCTATTTATATTTATCACATTTTCAATTATTTTAGGGAATACTCCAACAAAATAAAATGTAAAAATATCTATCTAAATAGCAGAAGAAAAGGTGCACCATATAAAAAACTATAATTATTATTTTAAAAATTCATTAAAAAACTTATAGTAAACAATAATAATTATCATTAAAAAATTTAAAAATTTATTTTTTTAAAATAGTTAAAATAATCAATAAGTAGTTTGTTGTAGAAATTTGATACTTTTTTTTCATCCATTTAAAATTTATCTTTATATATCTAAAAAAGCAAAACATTTTCAAAAAACATAAATAAAAAACAGTATTTAAAAAAAATATATTGCAACCAAACGTTTAAATAGGTTTGAATCATATTTTTTTAATAATAAAAAAATGTAACATGACATTCTAATAGGAGAGAAATAATGTATTTTTTATGTCAAGTATAGTTTTAAAAAAGTAGGTAAAGTTGAGTGATATTATTGTTCTAAAATAAAAATAAGTGATATTCCTAAATAATTTCTCTAACATGGGTGACTATCTAGGAAAATTACTCTGGTTTATTACATGGAAATCATCTCTTGTGACTAAAAAATTGAATAGAAGAAAAAAAAATATATTCTTTTTAAGACTTGTTTATATGTAAAAATAATCTCTCTTATTAAAATAAAAAAACAAAAAAAACAAAATAAGTTTATAAAAGAACTACTAACCCAAATCTCTTCATTTATATTATTAAAGGTCGATGGCCATATTGATAGTGGCAATAAGGCACAAAACAATATATAAATTAAATAATTGTTAATAATTTAATTTTCATTATATATTTAGTAAGTTTGTTAATGCAGATATATTATTTGAATTATATCAAAATTATATATTCAAGTTTAAAGTTTCCATGAAAAAAATATTGAAACGGAAAAATAATGAAATTGTTCCCATGCATGTAGTCAATAGTATCGAATTGAAACAAACATATTATTCTTTCAGAATTATTCAAATTTAAAAGGCTAATTATCACCATATAAAATTTCATATATGGTGAAAGAAGCAAATATTAATTGTCTTAGGTCTAAATTTCATATAAAAAAATTCCTCCCACCTACCAAATAAATGTAGGATAGAAAATATTCTGAAATTTCAGAAAATATTACTGTTTGGCTCATTATTGAAACAGTAACTAAATCTTTGTAAACAATAATTCAATACTGGAATAAAATCT